AAACATAGAATTTTTTCGTTTCCCTGCCCTGGGGGAATGATAGCATACGGCCCAAAGTGATAACTTAATGAAAACGCTCGAAGCAGCGAGTCACGCGTTCCACTTCGTCGTTCTTCAGAAGGGACTAGGATGAGGGGCGGAGTCGCCCAGCACCGTATCGATCACTCCTCGGGCTCACTCAGCGAGCTCGCATTTCTCGTGACGATGCTCGTCCTCCTCCCACTGCTCATCAGCAATGTTTTCGCCTTTGATTTTGGCGAATCGGTAAGTGCAATCACTTTTTTGTCAGATCAATGGCGCAGGTGGGATCAAGCCAGCACCGATGCGCGGTTTGTAGCAAGAGCAAGAATGGCCAAATCCTTTCACTGGACCTCCTCATACTATTTTACATCATTTTTCCACCCTTTAGTGGGGCACGTTTTTCTGAGCTCTTAACTGCTTTGGAATCACTTTTTTCCTCTTGAACGCCCGATTCAGCTGGATGCAATCTATTATACTTTCACGTACCCGCACAATGTTTCAAGCCAACGCTGCTTTGGTCGTCCTCCAGGCCAATCAAGTTTGGGAAACGTCAGGGTCGAGGCTGATCTTATGGGCAATTTCAGCATTTCTGAAGATGTAGGTGCCCTGTCAAAGCTTGGCCTCCCTTATTTCACCAGGTAATAAGGAACTGAGCTCTCGGTAAAGGAACCGATTAAGACCACGCCGTCTGAACGCCCGATGAATCCATCAATAAACGTCCACAAACAACCAAAATAGCCAAAAATTTTCGGAATGCGGTTGTTGTATAGTTTTGCCCTAAGTAAGGCAGTACAATTTGTGCTGTATCAGTTTTGGTGCGGATCTTTGCTTTTTGGCCATCACATTTCAGTGCCCATCTGAGAGCTAAGATTACATAGTATTAGCTACGAAAAGGTTTCACTTGCTTCCTTAAATGACATTTCTCCTGCTATCAACATACAGTAGTTTTCTTATACATACCCCCTCCGACCTTAACCAGTGGGAACATTGAAGCCACGTCATGAAAAAGATTTTGGCACTGAAATCGGTAAACGTTGCGTTGAGTGTTTTCAGGCGGGCGACATGGCGCTGCTGCCCTCGGGCGACTTCATCGACTTGATTTCGCGAGATGCCGAGAATGTGCCGAGCCCGGCAGCGTTTGGCAGCAAATTCATCACCGGTAGAAATTTCTATTTTTACACCTTCATAATCACTTCTTACTAAAATTTGAAAGAAATTAGATATTTGTCACATAAACTGAAATTTATATGATAATGAGCGGCTACATTTACATTCCTTACAGCAAGATTCAGTAAAATATCACCTATGTTCCATTTTTTTTCTTTGTCCTATTATTTTATCTATTGCATCAGTTTTCTTGGAAGAGTTGAACACAGAGAATATTTGGGAAATAGCGACCTTGAACAACTGTTGCATAATTTATTATTTCGTCAAATTGCACCTCACATTTCGTCATTTTGTGATGGTAACCGGAGTTCCTCCCCCCCCCCCTTCGACATTAGTTCTGTGAATTTGTTTATAAAAAACCTTAGG